ACTAATAGGCATTCAAGATTCTGTCAATATGCCCTATAATAGAGTAGGATTCCTGGAATCCTTGCAGTGTCTGTTTCTTGATCTGATCTATCTCAAAGAACGGACAAACAAATACCGTATATACTCGAGTATAAGTCGACCCGAATATAAGCCGAGGCACCTAATTTTACACAAAAAACTGGGAAAACTTATTGACTCGAGTATAAGCCGAGGGTGGGAAATGCAGCAGCTACTGGTAAATTTCAAAAATATAAATAATTAATTTGGGAAACGATCTCACTATCATGAAAGGTTTAATTGATTCACTAACCCAAAAGAAGAAGATGATGATGACAGCGGGAGGCAGGAGTCACTCTCTTCCCCTCCCTCGGAGGCCCCCTGAGTCAGGAGTCACTACCGCCGGCGCGGCCCCAGTCCCGCCGCCTCGGGAAGGGAAAGGCAAAGCGCTTTTTGCCTTTCCCTTCCCGGCTGGGGCTGTTGGGAGTCGCTGCCGCCAGAGGCCGTGACTCCACACCATTTTTTTTTTCAGAGGGGAATCTGACTCGAGTATAAGCCGAGGGGGATTTTTTCAGCACAAAAATTGGGCTGAAAAACTAGGCTTATACTCGAGTATATACAGTATGTTTCTTTGGACATTATTAAAGGTAACCTGGAATCTTCAGGTATTGCTTGAACTACTGGTCTCAGCATTCTTCATTGCCCTTTTAATTGGAGCTGGTAGGGCTTGTAGCTCAGCAGCAGCTGTAGGGCCAGAAGTTCTTGATGAATTAATTCAAGAATATTAGAGAAGGAAGGGCTGTAGAACTTATAAACATGGAAATTATAAAGACACACTTAATTTGTTTTAATCTGTGGTATCTCCGGGGGCAACAGATCTTGGATAACAAAGCTGGAGGGGAAAAAAACCTCTGCTGAGAATATTCCTAGACTGGTGGTGCTTTGATAGATAAATTCGGCATAGCTTTGTATGTGTTCAGAAAGATTTCATTATGCATTCAGAACTCTCATTTTTATTGCTGATATTTTCATCTTCATTATAATGTTTTGCAATAATACCAGCACCCCCCTTATCCAGTGCTTTGCCTTTGCTTTCAGGCCCAGAGGCTAGCCTCCATGAGGAACCACACAGCTACCCACTTGTTAAACTTTGCACTCCGCCAAGTCTTGGGAGACTGCACAGAGCAACAGGGATCCAGTGTGACTGCTGAGCATCTGCGATTTTTTGTCAACACCAAGGTGCGTGGTATCCCCAAAGTACACCACATTTAGAGCAGGGAGGATAAGAAAACTTGGAACACATCTAGAGATGAGCTGCAAAAGTTCATTCAACATCTGCTATCTTGTCCCCTAACACAGCGGTCCCCAACCCCCCGGGCTGCAGCCCATTCAGAACTGGGCCGTACAAGTGGCGAAAGCGCGCACACAAAGCTCCATTTGTATGAGCAGCGGGTGCACGTATGTGCACACTCACACGGAACAATCCCCTCTCTCTCTCTCACCACCAGTCCACCAAGCTGAAAAGGTTGGGAATCGCTGTCCTAACATATGAGTGAGACAGCCTTTGGACTTCCGTCAATGTTAGCAGTCCTGGTATTGAAACAATATTTTTTATTTTTATTTGTTATATTTGTTTGCTGGTCATCTCAACACAAGTATTCTCCTTATTCCTCTAACAAAACTAAGGACTGCCACAGGACATATAAATTCTGTTGGATTTTGTCATTCTTTACCTTGGAGGAAAATTTGGTTAATGAGTAATTTGATATATAGACATAAAGGAGAGATAGGATCAGCAATGGGAAGAATGAATGTCTTGTAATACAGATTTTTGCCAGTTCACAGATGGATAGTACCCAGCATTGAGGAAAGGCCCTAAAATAACAGTTGGAGGGAATTGTGTACTACACAGGTCCAAATTCAATGTATAAATGGAGGATGAGTGATGGAGGCAATTTAGTTTTGGAGCATTTAACTGTAATGTCTTATGTGTAACATGCACAAAACAACTCATCAGTTGCCATTTAATCCTAATTGCTATGGTGAATACTTGGTGTTTTCACACTAAAAACCTAATAATTTAAGTTTTGTTAGCATTCTCTTACACAGAATTTGTGTACATGGGCAAACAAACCTTATACATAGTTTGGTTCAACAACTATTAATTCCAGTTTTGGGATGAGCACTCTTGAGGCTTAAAAATCTAGTAAGTGTTAACACCTGAAACTGAATCTTGGAAACTAATCATCCACTCTTTTGGATTCTACAATACACTAATCTTCATGTTGTGTAATATTGCATCTTTATGATGAAGTATATTTTTCTTCACTAGGTCCCCATAAAAACAGAGAACCTGCAAGAGGTAGAAAGTGTGGTGCAAGAGATGATCAAAAGGAATGAAACTGTCTATACAGGAAATGCTCCCCTCAATCAGACCAGTGATGTTCTAGGACTCCGGAAACTGGATACGGTAATTTGGGGGATGGTAATGACTAAAGGAAAAAGTCTTAAATAGCTAAAAGCAGAACCAAAGTGACTTCAGCCAGTGTAGGTATTTTGTTCTGGAGACATTTGGAGTCATTTCTGGGTAAATATTCATGTTCTTGAATGTATTTTTAATCAAAATGTCTAACAATTATAAATATTATGCATTTTAAAAGTAAGTCCAAAATTACAAAATGATACCCCATTTGCTTTGCATTTTGATGCATATAATTTTTCCAAGAATGTTTTACTGAATTCTACTGTGGATGGTCCTTTGAAATTAAAATTCTGACCTAAAAAGAATTGTTAGATGGTTTTTATCTCTAATTTAATGAGGCTTTTTTTAACCTCAGGATAGATCGATCAAAGGATGTGTCTGTGAATGTTTGTGATTAATTTTTTGTACATTTGAAAGAAAATGTTAATAAAAAACATAGGAAAACATGGAATACATTTTAGAGCATTATATCATGCTCTTTAATGATTGAACTAAGTTTGTACAGAGAATATAATCATATTCATCTGAAGTTATATTTCCTGCATGATCAAGACTTGCAGTTGTGCAGAATTCCCATTTATGCCTTGCCTGTAGCTGTTTTCAGCTAAACACATTCATTGTCTTCTTATGCAAAGTTGGGAGAAGCGTATGTGACCCCTCTATGCCTATTAGTCTATAACTCCCAAATGGGCCTGCAAAATAATGTATAATTGTTTAAATTTCAAAAAATATTGGAACTAAAAACACCTGAAATAGCCAATATTGTGTATTTATGCTTTCTGTATAGTTAGTTATGCCACCTGGTTCCTGCTTCTGGATCCCATTTCCATCTAATACTTGTTCTTTCCCTCTTTGGTTTAGTTCCCAGCCACAAAATATTGAGCATTCTGAAAAATGAAACCTTTGAAATTCATAGAATTTGAGAATCTCAGAAACTGGTAGCCAAGCATTTGGCTGACTGTTATTGAAAATATATTGGGTTTAATCATTTTTCACTTGTTAATAATATCTTTCCCATCCAGCAGCAATTGTTCAGGAGTGTTAATGGCCATAGCACGTGATCTAAACCCTGTCCTTTTATATATGCATGTGATGCTGACATAAAGAAAGGTAGCAAGGCTTGGATTGTGCTGCTGTACTGCCACCTTTAAGAAATATGGGCAAATGAGTGGAGATAGTGCGTGCAGACCTCACAGATTGGTCTTTGGCACATTCTCAAGGGCGCTGCGATCTTCCACATAATTATGTCCATGTAATAGTTGCAGCTCACCAGGTGCACAGCCAATACTTGCCATGTCATGTAGTCTTCTCTGAAACCTTTCAGGTGTATCCCGATCTGGTTCGTGTAGTGTCCGTAGGTATCCCAGTTGAAAAGGTCTTGGCTGAGGATTCTAAGCATGCAATGAATACCTCGGTGGAACTGTGCTGTGGAGTGTGAGTATTTTTGTCCTGTTTCTTTTAAATCAGGATGTTTTGTACATGCCTTGACAGTGCAAAGTGGGTTTCCTCGAAAATTCCAGTCCGCTTCCCAGTTTCAGC